AATGGCAAAGGCACAAAAATAAGTGGAACAAATCTGTTAATTTAGATATTTTTTAAAATTTCATAAGATTCACTGCTGATATGAAAGAGGAACACAATCCATTATTGTTGTCCCTGTAACATTTATTTTTCTTGAGTCTGTCTCTGTTTTCACGTTGGAAAAAAATGTCTCCAAAAATTTATGACATCAGATTTGTGGGAAAAAAATTCTTTCTGATACATCTATTAACAAAACACTAAAACCGTTAAGCAGGATCCCTTACCCTGTAATTCTTGCTGGGCAATGTCACCCTTCTGAAAACAAAGTCGCAGCTGAACACTGCGTTGCATTGCTGCTCGTCTTCACTGCACCACAAGGACATTCTGAAAGGGACTTGAGAATCAAGGACATATTTTTTTAATTAATGTTACATGCTGTTTAAAACAAAAATGTTAGACCTCTAACCATTCATCCCATCCAGATGAGTGAGCCTGTTCTCCCCATTCTGGGGTTTGGCAGAGCAGAGCTTCCGGGTCCTTATTGCCAAGATTTACAAGGGGGTTCCACCAATTATTTCACTGGCTTGCTCTGTCTTAAATGAACTGTTTGTTCTGATGCTGATGTCGATTCTGAAAACTACTTCCTAGCTGAATGTTTTAGACACACACAAAAAAGAAATAATAAAAGTAAACTAACATTCTCTTTAAAGTGCCAACTAATTCATCCTAAAATCTTACTAAAGCTATATATTATTGACTAATTGTGTCAGACTTCGACATTCATGGTGTTAGATGACATGTTGATGTTCTATATTAGTTCTAAAATTGGATGAATGTTTCTGATGTGAGTGGTCCTCAAATACGGATAGGAGAATCACACAGTGTGCATGTGATAAAGACCCAGTTCTTCAAACCCCAGACTGAATCATATCCAATTAGGGTCAGGCCCAAGATTTAACAAGTACTTATCTGAGAGCAATGCTTTAAATAGCCAACTACTAGGTGTAGCCTGTGGAGGGAAACCATGGATCTCTTCATTACTCCTTCCTGTTAGTTGCCCAATAAGTAGTTTTTGTTAATGATTATTAGCACTTCAATGAATGTGTATTGTTTAGACTCATTCTATGAGAAAATATTAAAAAAGGGAGGTAACAAATAATTTTCATAATTGTTCAGTAGGAATTTACTGCACTCTAAATTGTCCAAATAGTCAGAATAAGATGCTTTCTTGAGCAGTATATTTAAAAGCACTACTAAATACTTCAAAAAGTATAAATAATATCCATGCTAGAGTGAATAGTGAATAATATTTATGATTAGATAAATTAATAATAGAACACAGGTGAGGGCCAGTGTGCATATGAATGATGTAATGCTTAAAATAGGGTCTCTCATATTTGAGGGACATCAGAATCACCTAGTAGGGTGATTAAGCCAAAGCTGAGCCCAACCCTCAGGGTGTCTGATGCCACTGCCAATGAAAGGACCAAAGACCTTAAAGTTCTGGTAAGTTCCCAGGTACACTGATGCCCTGTTCAGTGGACCACACATTTATAGATGTGCTATATAGAGGCTACAAACTACTGAAGCAGAGCAAGTGACCAGAGGTACCATGGGACATCAGTAGATTTCAGGATGCTGTTAGCTGTGGAGTTCTACTCATCACCACCCCTTTGATAAGATCCCCAGAACCCTAGTCTTTAAAAACAGATAGGAATGATGACTACTCATGGAAAGGGAGGCTGCTGTGGTTTATGGAACATAGTTTTGTACATGTTCCTCCTACATGTACACTGAAGGGTATTCTTCACCTACACAGTACCATAGACAACTGTTTTGAAAACGAAGAAAAATAAATCCAAGAAAGGGGCCAACACGCCAAAATTACACAGAAATTTCTAGAAAGATGTGATTATAGTCTTCTCTTAGTGTGTGGTGGTTGAGTGGGGAAACCATTTGACTACTCACTACGAATACAAAGAAAGTCCAGAAATCAAGCTGAGTGTTTAGAGCCCACACTTTAAATCTTTCTAGATTGTTTACAATAACTAATAGAGCATAAATGCCATCTCGCTAGCTGTCACACCACATTGTTTAGGGAGTGGCGACAACAAAAGTTCTGGAAATATTCAGTACAAAAGTGTTTTTGAATATTTTCAGTCAGTCACTGATTACATGTATGGACTGAACAGTTGTGAAGGACCAGTTGTGCTTGGTGCCTTCATTTTGCTAGTTTTTGACTGTCTAACCTTATATTTCCTCCTTTACCTTGTACTGTTACTAACTTTCCATATTTCATGGCCAAAACTAAATCTGTATCTGTTTAATGACTATGCTGTTGACTCAAATTATGAACTTACCCAATTAAATCTGTGGTGAATTACTGAGTTTCTTGTGAGAAATGTGCCATTTAGAACAACAGTTATTGAAGACAAAAAAAAATCCTTTAAAAATCTCCGGTCAGCTCATCTTCAGAACCTTTGTGTTCTTGTTAGCCCATTACAGAGGTCGTCTGAATTCCCACCGTGGTTAACCGTGTTGCAGTTCGTTCCTCCTCATCTTCTGTTGCCTGTGTTGCTTAGGAACTTGGCTTCTAGGTTCTAAGAAAGCATTTCTTTGTAAAGAAGGCACTTGGCAGACCCTCGGTGGAGAGGATGCTCTTCCCTTCTCATTTATTACGTCCTCCTGTGAGAAAAGAGAGAAAGATATAACAGGAAGAACAACAGGTGTGAGTCTCAGGTGTCCTCCTGTGGAAGAAGCCATCTCAGCACCGTTAGCTGGTGATGCGCAGCCCAGATGGTGCCCCGGATCACTTTTGCGGTGACCGGGACTTCACTTGCTTCTGGAGAGTAGGTCGAAGAAAGCATACTTCAGTACACTGTCTGTCAGGAATATACATGCACTCATGTGATAAAGCACATGATCTGATTTCCTGAATTCACCATGTAGGAAATCCTCCACTGCAAAGTTACCTCTTTTATCAACAATCAATTTAACTGAATTTTGTGTTTTTATGTTTAAATCATTATTATCTTTAAGTATGTAAGACAGTGTCTGACCTAACACTTATTTTGGGAAGACATTAAGATTAAAACCCAGAAATTCAGAGTTTTAGTCACACATCCACCATTTAGTACCTCAACACTCTGTTCCTCAATTGCACATCAGTAAACAGGGACTCAGGCCTTGCTTTTCTACTTAGAGTTTCAGTTGAAGCCAAATGTTACAGTGTACATATGCACACTTTTAAATTGTGAAGCTCCATATGAATTGACAGCCATTAGTTCATGTTCTTTAATAACAAAATTGCCTTTTTACTGTTGTAACATGTTTGCCTTCTTTGCCAATCATACTTCTTAACAAAGCTTCCATAGCCAAAGTCTGGAACTCTTTCAAAGTGCTGCTGTTAGGGGTAATCTCAACATCAGCTGTTCAGTCAATCAATCAATCAGTCGGAATCTAGTGATGGGGTAGTTCAGTGGTAGAGTGCTTGCCTACATGCAAGGAGTCCAAGGCTCAATCCCCAACACTACCAAAGATAAACTGACATGACAATACAACCCTGAAACAAAGTACAATCCTTAGTCATTGTTTGATGCAATGAACTCTAAACAATTATTTTGAGAAATGCTTTGTTCAAACAAAATCCAGTATAGAAACCCAGTGTATGGTACAGATGGAGACACAGCACCTCATGAAGGAGGCAGGGTCCTTGTGGAACTTGCATGCACTTTCCAAGACTTCTCTTGTCCTTCAGGGCTCATTGGAACACTGCTCTTGAGGCCCACAGGTGAGGGGTCTGTTCATGTTAATAAGACAGCATCAATGTCCAAAATTTGCTGTTGAGCAAGTGTTGTTTGCAAACGAAGATTTCCATTGAAATGTTGCCCACAGTAAGACTGCTGTCTTTTGAAGCATGTAGTTTCTGTTTTCCTGATCAAAGCACCTTGAAAACTTAACTTTTGATGAGCACACGTACAATTGGCCGTGACATTACGATGGTGTAGAGAAGCTCTGTGGGGTCAAAATGGGAGGGCGAGTGGACAAGGCAGTCTGTAAGCTCATGAGGCTGATGTAGAAGGGATTCAGTGTCAAATACGGCTAACATAATTTACATATGGAGAACTGAATTTCTTCATGAAACAACTGTAAATGGGTCAAACACACATATCAACAGAAACAGTAATTCTCTAGCCATTCTTGATACTGAATCCAGATGGAGCAAGTTTACTATGTTGCTCTTTCTCTCATTTGCTTTAAGTTTCATTCAGTTTTTAAAATGATGTGGTATTTTAGCAGATTCACTAATTTAAAATAAATTTTGATTTTCTTCACTGGACTGAATATTGTGATTTATAATTGAGCATATTAGAAATTATGAAAAGAAGTATTCATACACCAGAATGAGGGAAAAATCTAGAAGCATACCAATGTAAGTCACATTTTAACTTAAAAGTAATTGTAAATATTCTTGACACAAGCTTCAGACAAAGGCAAGGTGTCTGGGCGAGCATATTGTTTAGTTTTGTTTTTGCTGGTCCCGTAAGTAGTTTGCTAGAAAGTCGCTGAATCCCCTAAGACAGTAAGATGGGTTAACACTTTCTGAGTCTAATTTGCAACTAATCTCTCAGCTAAAGTCATCTGCAAAATCCATTAACATAGAAAAATGACTCTTAAAACTTAAAAAAATTAAAAATTAAATAGGGCAGTGTAGTTGTGGTCTCTGATATTTATTTTAGACATATTTTGATGCAGGCATATCTATATCTTTTAACTTTAGGAACCAAGATGCTGTAGTGCTTGAGTATTCCTCAAATATAACAAATACATCCTGAGATGATAATTTCATAATCTGTTAATAATTTTATAATTAATACATAATACCCCATAAATTATATTTTCATTAAACAATAGTTGACTAACTTTTATTCTTTGAGAAACTATACCAGGAAAAAGAGCAAGGTCACCTGAGAGCTTGCAGCTTAAAACACAGTGAGCTAACTTACTTTTTCTTTGCCAAAGTTTCAGACCCAAAGCTTACGTCTGTCAGACCAGCACAGGAAATCACACCTGTGGAGAGGAATCGTCAGCATCACCCTGATTGAGGGCCGAGACCTCAAAGCAATGGATTCCAATGGCTTGAGTGATCCCTATGTGAAGTTCCGGCTGGGTCATCAGAAGTACAAGAGCAAGGTAGGTCTCCATCCGTCTGTGTTGTGACTGCTGGGAAGTTCTGACTGGCTAGTAGCCAGGCTTCAGGAGAGGTGAACACTGGATGCCTTTGAAATGAGAACTTCGGAATATCATGTCGGAAGCAGAGCTGGTGGTCTGCGGTGGCCTTGAGCGAGGCACTGTGCTGTTCTGTCTCACTGCCTTCATCGATTACACAGGAAACGGCTCTCTGCACATTTGTGAAATTTAAGAGAAAACGGCAGCACTATCCCAGAAAGAGTATAACATATCCCCACACAGAAGTGCTGAGGCGTGGACCAGCACCAACATTGCTGGCACTGGTGATATAGACATCGTTTTGCGTTCAGTGAAAGTCTTTCAAATTACCCTGTGTCATGTTATCCAATCCTACTTTGATCAATACAACACCAAAGGCATTTTTTAAATTGTTTTTTCATTTTTATTTAATCATATAACTTTTGAGTTTTATATCTTACTTCAATAAAATGTACAATTACATTCACATCTGTTCTTTCTCCCCTCCCAGCTCTGCCAACCATTTTCTTCTTCAAATTGATTCCCTAACTTGTTCCTCTCTTCCTTCTTTCCCTCCCTCCGTCCCTCCTTCCTTCCCTTTTTACTTGCTTTTTCTCCTTTCTTTTCTTTTATCAGGCCCCATGCAGGCAGTATCAACTGCTGTGTGTCCATGATTGCCATGCCATATGCAGGACTCTTAAAACGTATTTAGGGAAACAAAGGGTCAAAGCCCTGCTGTTGTTGTGAGTCATGTGCAATGGCACACATTACTTAATCTCTTTGTGTGTCAATTTCCCCTTCTGCAGAAATAGAACTGAACTAATGCAAGTTCTACCTAAGCAAGTTTTTGGAGAGAGTAAATGAATGTGTGATAGATACACAAAGGGTTAAAAATACTTCTCTGAGTACCCAGTAAATGCTAAAAGCAGAGGGAAGAAGATTAGTGGCAGGAGTAATATTTTTAGAGTAACAATTTTATTCTTAGAGGTAATACATTAATATCAGTAACATGTTATTTATGAAGCTAATTATAACGACAAAGACTTACTGACCATAGCTACAGCTTGTTATGTCCAATTATAACTGCTTTCAGTTTTTAACAGTTAGCATTCATAGACAGCTTGGGATGAGTACTCCCATCCATCCTGAATTACATAAAGGTCACACTCCATTTTTGTGAAAATCCCTACTTTCAATGTACTTGTTTTCATAGATTTTTGGGTCAACACCCTGTCTGGTTCCCTTCTAGCCCAGAAAGTCTTCATCAGTACTTAAGGTAATTCAAAATGTCACAAAACTGGTTCATTAACAGGAAGTGCATGTTGCTATCAGGCTGTTTGGTAATCTTATGGAGGCCCACATTGAAGATTTAGACATAATTTTAGCTGGAAGAAAGTTATATGGGAAAGACAGTCCTAATATCTAACACTAAAAAGTTAGTCTGTTTATGACCTGATAAAAAAGATGGACTATATTCCCAAACACCACAGGAGTTCATCTAAACTGAAGAGGACATTTGAATTATCATAGCACCCATCTAGTACCATGCATATTTTCTACCAGGAGCTTAAGAACAAATTTTAAAACAGCTACTATTTCAAAAAATAGATATCTATGACCACTTCTGTCTTCTCTCAGTTAACACAATTTGCATGTTCTATTGGGCTTAATTTTATAGTTCTGCTCTTTAGATGTGAAATATGAAGCCCACTATGGACATGTGTCTCTTTTGATCTTTCTGTCCATGATCTATGGCAGATTAATTGCAGATTGTGAACTTTAAAGTTGTGATTCATTTGCATTACCTCTGCACATCATATATATCATTGCTTTCGAACTCTTTGCATCTAAGGGCCCATCTGTCCTACATTAAAAAGAGAAAAGGTCTACCTACTACCTGCTTATAACATGAGTGGCAAGAGAAACAAATATGAGTGTGGCCTAGCCAAATGCTACACAGAATTTTATAGCACATCAATATTGGTAACTTTGTTTATTGATTTACTGGGTATCTTCTCTGAATATTCAAAAGCACAAAATTGCAGTCTAGACATCCTTGTTGTTCATACAACACAACACACCTGTGTGCAGTCTCCCTGTACGGGAAGTGGAACAGCACAGTGTTGCTAAATATGAAAGGCAAAGTAAGCTAATCCATCCCAAATCTCCTTGTTTATTCCTTCTGCTTCTACATAACTCGTTGTCAGTTTTTCATGTACTTTAAACACCAATGTGCACAGAGCGGGAAAACAGGAACTCTGGGAATTGTCATCTTCCTTTATTGCAAGATAACTAACTCTGTGTTCTTTCTTCAATCAGTAACTGTGATGGAAAAATGTTAGTGTCTGAATGAGTTGTTTCACTGACAGGCTGCATTTTCTATGTATTTCATATTTCTAATCTGTTCTGTAAGATAGTCAAGGGCTTACTTCTGATTTTCTGATTTCTCTGGACAAATCCATGAGTCTACGCAGCATCAGAGATCCTGGAGGTTTGGTGACTAGTATTATACATGTACCACGGACACCCTGGGATCTTTGATTGAACTACTGCCCTTAGCAAGATTTTCTGCATAATGTCTCAAGTTGATTTTTAAACGCTACTATTGGTAACGCAATAACTTTTTGCCTTTGCAGATTATGCCCAAAACTTTGAATCCTCAGTGGAGGGAGCAGTTTGATTTTCATCTCTATGAGGAAAGAGGGGGAATCATCGACATCACTGCCTGGGACAAAGATGCTGGGAAAAGGGATGATTTTATTGGAAGGTTTGTGCAAATTGGTATTGTATTTGCCTGAGAGATGGAAGGTTTTTTTTCTGAAAGAATATATTCTTTAAATCTAGTTGTCAACAGTTTTGAAAGAAGGAAACGTTCCATTACAGTGCCAATCAGCACTGAAAACATAGATTCAAAGAATGACCAGTAGGTGGCAGCTTTGCCTAGTTGATGGACAGGCTATTCCAATGTACTATCCAGAATTTTCTCCAGATGTCAGAGTTATTGTGCACAGAAGTTATGGGAGTTGAAAAAGAGGAATTTAATCTGATAAGGGACACTTAGAGAACAAAGAACACGTTCAAGGATGGAAAGTGATCTCCAATAATGCTTGTTTTCACAATGCATATTGTAACCATAAAATGCATTATTTCCTACAACTCCCTACAAGCTTCCTTATAATCTCTTAGGAGTTCATAAATCTGGAAAGAGTTCCAGAATTTTAGAAAAGGAAGAACATAAGTGAGGCAGATCCATGTTAATCTGATAACACAGCAAAATGTGTTCAAAGACTCAAAGGACATTTCTCTACTAAGTTAAGGCTATTTGGGTCTACTACTTGAATGATCGGAATTGTGTTTTGATTAAAAAGCCTATTTTTATATTTTTGACAGTTACATATGTGCATTGTATCAAAATGTGTGAAAACTTGCCAGCACAGAAAAAAACCACAGTGTATAGAAGGGTTTGTTATTTTAAAAAAATCTTTCTTCAATGTAGTTCACAGGAATTCCAAGTCCAAAGAGAATTCATACATTCCCAGAGTAAAAGGAATTTTAGTCTAAAAGTAAAAACAGGAATCCAAACCGACATTCAAGGCTCTTCATTTCTATTTAAATGATTCTGACACATCTGTTTAAGCAATAGTTTTCACCATATGCATGTAATATGGGAGATAAAGCTAAGTTTCAGTTAATCATTAATATCTGGCTTTGTAAATGAAGATGGGGGAACACCACTGTTATCTAGGAATTGCATTATACTTTAATCTTTGTGAAAACAGGGGTCTCTGTTGGACTTTGCCCCTCAGAAAAATACTATTGTCAGAGTTCTCTGGAAGTCATTTTGTTCTTTTTGGTATCTACCACTAACTTAAGTCACAGCATACATCTGCCGGTCTGAGAAGCAGTCCACTATGGCTGTGCATTTGACTACATCTCCCTCCTTAGGCTGTGATCTCTCTCAGGGAGTTAGACTCTAGCTCTTCTGAGGACACTTACTTATTTTTCATAGTTTAAGCAACAGTTCCTGTCTGGGTAATCAGATAACCCAAGTGGAGCCTGCTCCCTCCTTACTTTAAATTCAGACTATCTGGAATGAAGGGGCTATGCTCTAAAACCTGCTGGCCTCTGCTCTGGCTACTGTCAACGTGGAGGGTCAAGATGACTTGTCCCTTTCCTGTTTTACTGCATAATGACAAATATCATTTAAGCATTGCTTCCTGAGGGAAAAATTTCCAACTTTGGATATTGTAAAATGTCAGAGCCCATTTTGTACAGGCTTTTCCCTTTTCCCCAACAGAAAACATGTTGGGCAGAGGAGGGCACATCTGCCTTACTCCACCTTGCTTCTGGGCTTGTTATGGTTTGTTCAATGTTTATTTTCAACCTTGGGCCACATATTCTTTTGAATGTATGTTTTGTGAATATAAACTCAATAGTAAGGCTAGTCTGTTCGTGATAAAAGCAAGGCTGACTATCAGTTAAAGAAACATGTTCAAATCTGGAACGATGAAGCATGAATATTTTAGCAGTGAAAACTTGCCTTCCTCTATCCTCACTCAAACCCATAAAGTCAGGCTTCTGCCCCAGCCGTCTACTACAGCTGTTCCTGTCAGGCCACCTGCAAATCCCAAGTCCTGTGACCTGCTGGCCACCTTGTCTCACTCAGCAGCACGGAAGGAAATGGCTGATGGCTTCCTTACTTTGAAACAGATTTTTCACTTGGCTTCCAAGATGCCATAGTTCCTCCTATCATGTGGTCTCCTGTGAACGTTTCCTCCCTCACGTTCTCACAGAACAGTTCCAGAGCCAACGCTTCGGACCTGAAACCTTCGCTCCTTCTCTGCCAGCACTTGCCCCCTCTGTGAGTTTATCCTTCCTGTGTTTCCCGTACCACTCAGGACTGCCAACTGCCAATGTTCTGGTCATTCTGATAATCCCCCTTTCAACCGCCATCCTCATATCCAACTTACTACTTTACTACTGGAATAATTAACATGCTTCTTCTATTTAGACACTCCAGAGTTAAACTTCACCCTCCCGATCCCCAAAAGCTGGGTTTTCCCGGGTCTTTTGCTAACACTGAAAGTACCAGAGCTTCCTTCTTATTCTTTCTTTTTTCTCACTTTCATCAAATACACCAGCAGCCCACTCTTTCATCAAGGCTGCAGTCTAGATGACATGAAGATCTTCCATGAGACTTGCCTCTTGAAGAATCTGCACACAGCAGTAGCATCACCTATGAGAGGAGCCTTCAATGCATGGACCTTTGGAGGCCCCACATCACCTCCATGGCTGTACCACCAGCCTGGCTAACCACCTGCTTCCCTGCAGACCGTGGCCACAGCCAGTTCCTTCCACCTTTCTCTTCATCTGACAGTCTATTCCCAACACAGTCACCAACATCATTTTTTTTAATTTAATAAAGTTTTTTTCCCCCAAAATGTGCAGTCATTTGAGCCTGTTCCTGCCTCTTTCTCAGCAGCTGGGGGACTCCACCCTTAGCATTTCCAGTGCAAATCACTTGAACTCTGTGGTCTTTACTAAGGGGCTGCTGAAGGGCTGCCTTGGCTAACTGAACCTTTGGGTTCTTGGAATCCGTAACTGAGAGCACAATCAGAAGCTCCCTGGAAGTCTGTCAAGAGAAAAATGGCTCGATGAGCCGGGGCACAGTTGCTGGGTTGGCCTCTTGGGCCTGACCACTTTTTTGCTCCTGGACATCTGGGTCTTTTTCCTGTATCTTCGTCCTGGTTGTTCTTAGCTGTTTTCCCAAGGTTCAGAGAGTGGCAGGGACCCGACAACTTCCCTTAGACACGGGTTATAAAGATCATTTAAAACTGTATTTAATCTTTATGTGATAAGTGTCTATGTTTGTGCGTGTGCCACGGCACCCGTGAAGGTCAAAGGGCAGCATGGTAGAGTCTGTTCTCTCCTTCCTTCTTTACATGCATTCCGGGGATTGAACTAAGTCCCCAGGGACACAGCAAGCACCTTTATTTACTGAACCACCTCTGCAGTCCCAAGAGAAAAAAGTTAAGACATAAATAAAGTAATTTAACTCCTCTACTCAAAACCCTTCTCTTGTTTCCTAATGGTCTGGGTAGAAGCAAAGTCCTCGCTGGGGACTTCTGTGCTCTGCACGGCCCCAAACCTCTGGGCTGAAATGCTGTCGTGTTTCCTCCTCTGCCTTCTGGCCATAATGGACACTAGGCTGTTCCCCACCACACCGGACACAGCACCATCTGTGACACCTTTCTTTAAATCACTTGCCTGCCTTGCTTTTGTACTTTCCCAGGCCTGGTAAACCCTATTTTCTTAGTATTCCCTTCCTCCTCCTCTGCTGATATTTTATAGACATAGCCACCATTTGGTACACTGTGTGTCTTCCTTACTGTATGTGATTATCCACTTCACTGTCCTGGAATACAAATCCCATGACTGGAGGCACAGTTGAGTGTCTGTTTACTGTAGCATCCTCAGAAAGTATGTGACACATATGCTCAATAAATATTCTTTAATTTGAAAGCAAACATTTGAAGCTTGATTTAATACTGGTAATTATGATTATTCTTTTTTTTTAAATAAAGAAAGATTTGATACCAGATGTTTATATATTGTCAATATGACCATGATCTGGTGGAAGGCACAAACTTCAAATATAATTGTGGAAAAATGTATGGATATTATACAATGGAGAAAAACTAATGAGTTAGAGCATAAAAGTGTCTGCATAATGCCTATGCTTAAAATGCTAAACTAATATATTTAGGAGAAAAATGATTCTATATATTAATAAGATTATTTCACCCCAACATTTTAATTGACATATAAAATTGTACCTATTTTTAGGCTATCATGTATATCAAGATATATATTGTGTTATGTTGAAATCAAGGCAAGCATATATAAATCCTTAGGAACTTACGGCTGGTGGGAACATTTGCAATCCTTTCATGTAGATTATACGTATAGACACAATATTGTTACCTAAAGCCACACTGTTAGAGCACAGCACATCAGAACTGCATCTCATCCTGCCCAGTCATCATTTCCCCGTCCTCCATCCCTCTGTTCTTCCAAGACTTTTGAACTTCTAATCTACTTTTAACTTTTGTGAAGTCTGCCTTTTTAGACTCCATGTCAGTTAGATCAGGGCACTAATTACTTTTCTGTGCATGGATTATTTTACTAGGTGAAATGATCTCCTGTTCTGTCTGTTTAGCCATAAATAAATATATTCCATGCTTCTTTACGTTTTGGAAAGTCCTAGTATCAAAAACAGAATTTCATTATTTAATGAACAAATAATATTCTACTGTGAATATAAATTATATATCCTTTACCCATCACTTGATGGATAGTAATGTTATGTCTACTTCATGGATACTGTGAGCAATACTGCATTAAACAGAACAGTAAAGAGTCTGAAGTATTTTTGTATTTTTTCCCTCAATTGTTTCATGGTTTTAGATCTGCTATGAAAGTCTTTCATCTATTTTGAATTGGTTTGTACACCTGGGGAGAGATCATGGTCTGGTTTCTGCATGTGGATATCCAGTTTTCTTAAGACCATTCCTTGAAGAGTCTGCCTATACTCTGCTCCATGTTTCTAGTGCATTTGCTGAACGTCCTTAGTTATGGATACTTCACTTTACCTCTAAGCTCTGAACTCCACTCCATTTGTCTAAGTGTCTTCATTAGCTCTGCTATATATTTTGAAGTCAGGTAGTATGAGTTCAAGCTGTTGGTTTGCTTGAGAATGCTAGCTCT